GAAGGTATTAACACCCCTATAGCGCCCTAAATCGGTACCCTTATGATGAAATTAACATAATAATAAATAACATTTTAAACATTTTATCCCCTTTTATTATTTAATATTATTTACATGACAAAAAAATATCTATTATCTACATGATTATTTATTGTATATAAGAATTATAAATAAAATAAATAAAAAGAAATAAAACAATAAATAATATATAGAATAAATAAAAGAGAAGAATTTAGAACTTGTTAAGCAAGCTTTTTATAAAGGAAACTTGCCAAATGCGTGCAGGCGCGTTTTGGAAACACTTCGCTCTAGGAAAACCTCACTATCCCTCAAAGGCTTACCTAAATATGGGGGAAGCTATCCAGTTCTTTCCTTTCCTAATCCCTTGTCCAGAGGGTTTATTATATAGCCAACTAGGATACAAAAGAATAAGAGAGTTATCCGATGTGGGACTAAATTTTATAATAATACCATATTTTCCTAGGCACCATGTAGAACTTCTAGAGACCTCAATAAACGTTAGATCATGCTAGTTCTTTTATGATATCTTCACAATATATTGATCTTCAATTTCAACGGTTGGATTTTTGAAATTAGGTTTGTAGTGAGAGATACTATCAAAACAAAAACGTTGTCTAGTGTAGCATTCATATTTTCCAGCTGCAATGCGACGCCCCTAGATAAATCATTAACCGTTGGATCATGCTAAAAATTTAATAATATCTTCTTAAGAAATTGATCTTTGTCGCCACCGGCCCGAAACGGGCTTTCGGCATTAATCCAAAAATGTTAGAATTGGTTTAGTTGGGTTCACCTAATGAGGGTGACCTAGCTAAATCAATTCCTTGTATTAAATGGAGCAAACTAAGCCCAATATGTAAAAATTAGCCTAGGCCCACTACAGACCCAATTGCTAGCTTCACCTACACATTTTACTATTTGTCACCCCACTTCTACTACTAAAAATATGAAAATCAATGAACCTTAATACAAAGTCAAATGGATCAAAAGTCTTCAAACATTATACCCTAAAATCCTAAAAGGATGACCTATAAGAAAAGGAAAAGGTACCTTACAAATATAAAGGAAAAATACACATATACAAGTATCTACTATATACAAGGTACAATAACTCAAACTATACAAGATATGTACAAAGAGACTATGAGACTAAAAAGAAGAATCATACTCAATGCTCATATTGAGTAAAGCTTTAAGAAGCACCTCCTCTATAGAAGTCTCCTTTCCTAACCATGAATCTAGTTAAAGGCCTAATGGTCTTCAAGTGTGAGCTCTCCTATGAATTAACCTTCACCCTTCTTGATCTTACCTCTTCCAAAGGCATCCTTGGATATTGATTTCCATCATGAACTCCAACTCCTGCAAGTTCATCAATAAAGCTTTTGATCTTATGAAGATACTCTTCCATCGATTTGTTTTCGAGACGAACAATAGGCATGGCAGAGAGCAACTGTCACGCACAAGATTTTGTTTGAAGACCAAAATACTCGTGAGTCTTCTCCCAAACTTGATAGGAGTGAGTCTATCCAAGAACACGAGAAAAAACTGACTAAGAAAGAGTAGATTGAAGCTAAACAAGTAACGTTTGATCTTGAACTTCGCATGCAGAACCACCAGATTTACCACAAATTGTTGTAACTTGTGCGATTTGATCACTGGTTCAACTGGTTCACCATATTGCTTCCAGTGGAGATAGTTCGAATCATCAAGCTTCTCAGCAATGGAGTTCAGAAACGATTGAGAGATAGAGAACTGAGATGCGGAAGCCATAGACGCACTTTGAGAGGAAGAAAACCCTAGAATACGCGAAGAGGAAGAGGTTTTAAAAAATTGACTCTAGGTACCATTTGAAAGAAACTGAACAAGAGAGATATTTTTTATTAACTACTAAAAAGACAAGACTACATGAGATATTTATAACTATCTACAAAACTGCACAAAAAGAGTTTTTTAATAAACTCTAACAAACTTAAAACAGAATTCACTATTTTACATATATGTACACTAACAGAGACATACACTTTGGTTATTTCATTGACTTGTTTTTACTTGTCAAACTCCGATATGACTAACAATGTTGTTTTATTAAAATCTAGATTAAAATTACAACATTGAATACTATATATAACTCCGATATTTGAAGTTGTTCTTCATTACCTCTAATCTTATGATTCAATGTAAATTATAATTCACTGTTCACAAATTAACCAGCTATTTTTATTTTTATTTAGAATCTGCATTTGATAACCTAGTCTAGTATTATGCTTCAAATTGACAATCTGATATGAGAAATAATATAAGAAGGTTAATGTTGGGATCCAATCCAAAGTATGAGGCTTGAGTTTCACATTTTGAAATTGAAAGTATGTGGGATTTTAGCGTGGGGTTTGAGGCTTTGGTTTGGACTGTTCAATTACAACAACTAGTTTTTATAGCATGGTTCTCTCAAAGTTCTTGAGAGTTGAATACCACATTGGAAGTATAAGATTATAGTATGAAATATATAAGGCCTTGGCCTCTCCAGTTACTGTAGCTAGTTTTTGTGGTATAGTTCTCCCAAGTCCCAAGGTTCTTATCAGTTAACAATTGGTTTAACCTGATGTCAAATAGGAGATCCCATTGAAGATCAATTTGTAACTTCGAATTCTCTTATTTTTTAAGGTTTCTTCTACAGTCATATATTTCCGTGTATGATCAAATATCAGCCTGTTTCCCATGTCCATGTCCATGTCCAGAAGGTACCTATTTTTATGTCGTAATTGCAATAAAGAAGAGTGAGAATCCCTGATTATATTTTTGCATCCAACTAATTAAATTAATCATTTAAATAAAGAAAAACATATTGACATTCTGATGGCAAATCCATATTACAAAATTTAAAGAACAAAGCAACAGCACACTTAGCTAAGTTACCAGCAAAACTTCAATCATATGCAATGCAACATTGCGTGCTACTTGCACCCATTACTCAGTAATTTTGCATTCATCTTGTCCTCACTGAAATTGGCCTCTTCTGCAAATCCAACTGAGGCACGCTCTGCATCTCGGATCCTGCCACTGTATTTAATACTAGTTTCCTAGAACCTGAACCAACCTCAATTCCAGCACCATACTCTGAAGAAGTCTTAGAAGATTGATTTCTTTTATGTTCATTATCAGTCTCTTCATCAGTTTCATCAAAAACTATTTCCTTTTCCAAAGGATCAGCATCAATTTCAGCCCCCTTCAAAATCTCATCGGTTGAATTGCAACTTATAATGTCTTTTGGCCTTTTTATGTCATCTATATCCTTGTCAAATTCTTCTTCTGTTTCACTGAGGATTTCATTTTCTTCCGGTGGAGGCCTCACATTATCATGTCCATCATCCTCTACTTTTCTTGGTTGGGGGCTTGGACTATCATGATCATCAGGATCATGTGATTCAGATCGGGAGAGTTCCAGTGCTGCTCTTGCAGCAGCTGCAGCATATGCTGCTGACTCAAAAGCTGCTTGTGCTGCATCAGCCACGTCCTTGTACTTTTGCCTGCCCTTAAAGGAATCAGTTAACTCCTCATCTTTCCCTCTACTAGGCAAAATGCTTGCATTCTCTTCCTTTTTCTCAGGTTCATGCAGGTTTTGCTTTTCCAAATTGAAGTGTTCCTAAACAGTTCACATCAGATGCCATAATTAGTTGTTTTTCAAATGTAAACATAAACAAGGAATTGCAATTTTTTTCTGCCTTGGATTATTCTATACCTCAACCGACACAGAAGTTTCTTCAAGCTGCAGAACAATACCATTCTCAGAAGCAATGTCTTTGAGTGCCTTCATTCTGATCTCCAAGCTTGGCATCCTTGTTGACATCTTTTGTATAATCTATTAACAACCATATAAAATAGGTAACATTACAGTTTCCACATAAAAATTAATCAAAATTAGTATGCTCTCTGCACACATTCTAGCTTGTACATAAATCCTGGCTCCTAACAAGTCCAACTGGAAAAATAAAATTGTGGGTAGGTATTTGGAAAAATTCAAGTCCCAAAGCCTATCCTAGATCATTTTAAAGGGTTATCAACCATTTTGTGTACACACCAAATTTAATAGTGTTGAGTTTGAGTAAATGTATTGAAAAAAATCCAAATCTCACATTCAAAGATAACACAAACAGGAAATATATAAATGAGGGATAACCCTCCCCTTTAAACCAATTTGTAAGATTGAGTTAAGGTAAAATCCACATTTTAAGAGAAGGAAGGTGGACATGTATACCTGAGGATGAACTCCACAGTTATTCCTCAACTCGATAGCACGAGCAGCAAATTCCTTGCCAAACCGCGTGGTCAGAACACCGCGAATCTCTTGAATTTCTGGGAAATCTCCACACCTAGAAGCTGCATAGAGTAATCCAGATGCTGCCTCCTTCAGTTCCTCGGGACATTCTCTATAACAACAAGACCAGATCCATCATTTCAAAAAGGAAAACAAAACCAAAATTTTTCACTCAACACAATCACAAGTAAACCAACCTTTCTTGTTCAATGAGGTGGACCCTTTCAATCAAGAGGTTGCAGTATCCCTCAATCATGTCATACACATCCAACATGTTCTGATCCTTTATCACATGCTCAGCCTATCAAAACAACCCAGTTTTTCAAACCCAAAAGAAGTTAGTTATATATGTGATAAAAAAACCAATTGAGAAAAAAATTCGCAGAATATTATCTGATCACAAATCGTCATGTATACCTTAAAAGTGATGCTTACCATGATTTGGATTGGTTAACATTATAATTTTTTTTAACGATACATCAAAATTGAACAACACAAAGATAAAACTTAGACTGAGTATCATAGATGTTGTTCTCATAACTGGAATTTACGTGTATGTAGATCCAATTCTAATTGGAAAACAGTATCAACTGCACCGCATATGATACTGTATATAAGTTTTATCCAAATAAAAATATTAAAAAAAAATAGGTTGGTGGGACAAGTGTATGATAATATCTTACTCTAAGTGAGGCTCGTTCTTGGTGACCAAGTTGGAGGAGTTCAAGCACATCAGAACGTGCATGTCTAAGGCGAGCATGGCGCTGGTTCTTGAGAACAGCTATGCGTGAGGTGGCAAGGTTAACAGTTGCCTTGAACTTTGAAGCCTTGAAGGTTCTACCAAGGAGAGCATCAAGCTTCTTACCCATTTGCACGTACCTTAATTAGTTCTAAACGATAAAAGACCAAAACAACACACCAACACCAAGTGTGGTTGATGGCAATGTAAGGTACGAACTTATGGAACAAAGAAGCAGGCTCAAACTTTCATGAAATGAGATAGAGAGAGAGAGTGAGAGAGAATGGAGGTTTTATATGGTGATTTGAGAACATGGGCAAGTTGGCAAATTGACTAATATGTCCTCTGTAGAAGGATTTTTTGTTTCAATGTTTTTCCTTTTGGGGTGTTGTTGATTGCAAGAGTTTTCTTAGGAAAGAAGAGTCCAGCGGTGGGGGCACGAAGAGGAACCAAGTCTTCAACGCGGTTGGCGTGTGAACGTTTCAAGGAAGATGAAATGCGGCTTCTCAGTTGCCACCTTCTAGGAAAATTACATGAACGAAATAGTGGAAAGCGAACCCAAAAAATCATTGTTTTGTTGTGACCATTTGGTTAGATGCATAAGACGGAAATCCTATGGTCACACTCAGATCCTTTTCTTAGGTCAATTACTACATTTATTACTTTTTTATTTATTTATTGTATATATTTAAAATGACTTAAACATATTTTTGGTTTCCATGAAATAAGTGTCTTGATTTTAATCACACTACAACAAAATTTCTTTATTTTTCATTTCTCTAAAATTTGAGATCATTATTTTAAAATTTATAAGAAATGAACAAATTTTAATTTTAGTTCTAATAAAATACTTTTTTTTTAATTTTTATTTATGTAAAATTTAAAGTGATTATTTTTCTTAATGTTCCTATTTTAAGATAAATAAATAATATTATTTTTCCCCTCAAAAAAATAATATTATTATTTTGAAAATTTATAAAAATTTGTAGATACATGCATAATTATCAAAACCAAATCAAATCAGTCCTAAATTAATTTGGTTGGCCCATAAAACTATTTTGCAATAAACCAATAAAAAAAGTAATAGAACCCATTTAAAACTAGTCAGAGTTGAAAATTTTTTTCGGTCAAACTGGTTTAATTATGTCGAATTAAAAAGTATTTTTATCTAAAAATTTAATTTAAATAATTTAATAATACATTTAATAAAAATTAAAAATTAAAAAAATTATTTTTAATAGTTATCTTATAAATATAATTTAATCATTAATATTAATTTGTAACTTTTAATATTATTATCTCTAGTAACTTATATTATATTAATTTAACATTTTTCTTCTTACAGTCAAGCTAATCGATCTAGTAACTTGAAATCTTGTGAAACAAGCTTCTAACTTAGAAGCTTGGGGAGTAAGCTAAGCTAGAAGCTTGTAGCACAAATTATCCAAGTGTGTGGGAGAAGCTAGAAGAGCTAGGCAGCTAATCTTGTTTTCCTTCACTTAATTCAATCCAAAAATGTTAGAATTGGTTTAGTTGGGTTCACCTAATGAGGGTGACCTAGCTAAATCAATTCCTTGTATTAAATGGAGCAAACTAAGCCCAATATGTAAAAATTAGCCTAGGCCCACTACAGACCCAATTGCTAGCTTCAGTTCAATGATTGGATTCTGAATATTAGGTCTTTAGGGGAATATATTATCAAAACAAAAACGCTACCTAACGCAAAATTTTTCTGAAAAGCTGAACAGGCTGTTCCGGTTTCAGAATAGGCTGTTTCGATTTTGGAACGGGTTGTTCCAACATTGGGAACAGGCCATTCCAATTTGTAAATGGACGTTCCGTGCTCCATATCAGTTTTCTTGAGTTTTTTGGGTCTTTAGGAGCCATCTTGGTCCATTTTGGTGCTCTATTGGGCCCTTAGGGGCCATACATACTACTTTTTTCCAGCTGCAGTGCGAGGCTTATAGAAAACTTCTGAACCGTTGGATCATGCTGTAATTTTGATAATATTTTCTCAATACATTGATCTTTAATATCAACAGTTGGATTGTGAAAATTAATTCTGTAATGAGAGATGTTATCATAACCAAACTACTGCCCAATGCGGTTGTACCCTCGAGGGTTGTTTGCCTCGCTCTAGTAGGCTTTTATCCTTGGTTTGGGTACCCCGGACGAGATTGGGTGAAACTGCTTGAAACTGTATTATTGGATAAACTACTTGAAACTGTATTATATCTTTAACGATTTGATAGATTATATTTGTCATCATCAAAAAGGGGTAGATTGTTAAGTCAGACGAAGCAATTCCCAACAAGATTTTGAATATGACAAATATAATACATATTGTTATTACTAATCTGTGTAGTAGTCTTTCAGATATGTATAAGAACAGGAAAAAACAAAGCATGAACCAGGGTCGAGCAAAGTAAGGATCCAACAAAACAAGCCAAATAATAGAAGGATCATGCCTTGCGTATCTGACGATAATGAATATCAAAACGAAGATACGCCAAGAATAATCCAGAGCACAATATATGAGATTAGAAACAAGAGCAAAGAAAGATCAAGACAAAGTTGGCTCAAGCACCAAATAAACATCAGACGAAGTTCAAGGATCAAGCATATATATCTAAGTCAACAAGACAATCATTAGTCGCTGGATAACACAAGACGAAGAAACATTCCAGATGAAATAAAAGTTATTCATCCTCAAGACTGATCAGACAAGATGAAAATGTCAAAGTCTAATTCTTAGACGGAGACTCAATCTTCCAGACACAAATGAAGCATGATGAAAAGTGTCTAGAGTCCACTAGTCACAACGAGGAAGATCATACATCATCTCCATTTATAAGAAAAGTGCACGAAGTTATCAAAGTCATGAAAATAAACAAGAAAAATACAAGAGGGCGAATCCGCAAGTCAAAGTTGTATGTGTCATGACAAGTACAACTACTTTTCAGAAAAAGGCAACCCCTCCACAGCTACAATGACAAAAAAATGACAAACATACCTAGGTCATGATTGAAGTCAGAAAGAAAAGGGAGCAATTTATGCAAAAGACTTCACACGAAATACAGATTGAGCAAGCAAAGCATTTAATGTAAAAACAAACGCATTAAATGAACAAGATATGAGTAGCCATAAACGAACGTTCATCTGCACCAATGGAAAGCCACGCCTCAATGAACATATTCAAATTCAAATAATGGGCAGATCCATCACAAGGCTATAAAGAGCAAGTTCCGAGAAGAAAAGAAGTAGAAGAGAGAAGTAATAAACAAGAGTAAACGTCGAAAACAATCTCACCTCTCTTCTTGTCCAAAAATTGAATATCTGTGTAAAACTAAGATAGTTTATCTTAGTGAGTGTAGAAAACATTTTATTCTCTCTGTGAGAGTCACATACACGCTCTAAACACATCTTTGTAAAATTAAGGTTAAAAACCTTAGCGAGTGTTGAAATCATTCCATCCTCTATGTGAGACTTACAAACACACTTAAAACACTCATCGTCTGTAAAGCCTGAAGAGGCTAGCAAAAGAATACTTTGAGAACCAGAAGTGGATTAAGAATACTAGCGTCAGCAAGTGAGGTTGACGAACTAGAAGTGGTTAAGAATACTTGTAATCTGTTGTGATTAGTGGAACCTTTCAGTTGAAGAAGACTGGACGTAGCTCAGAACAAATAAACCAATATAAAAACTATGTGTATCATTATTTGATTCATAAATACTGCCTTACTCATATTTACAGTAGAAAACTTCGTCTACAACTACTTGTTTTCTAAAACAATATTTGGACAAACTTTCATTTTTTTGACTGAGAAAACCATTTTTGAACAGATGATAGATCTTCAGACGCAAAGTTCTTTTCAATAAATCTTGCATTTTCCTTATGCAGTTGAAATATTATTTTCCAACGAAAAGTAGCACCTTTGCGAAAACGTTTTAAAAACCCTTTGTTCACACACATTCAACCCCCCCTTCTATGTGTTTTTCACCTAACTTCAATTGGTATTAGAGCCTGACCCCTAGGGTCGAGCATCTAACACTGCAGGGGAACGATCATGGAAAATGAAGGACAGGCGGTAAATCGCCCATCGCTCTTCAGAGGAACCAACTACGACTACTGGAGACAAAAAATGATTGTGTTCTTTGATGCTTGTCATATAGACATGTGGGAGGTTGTAGAACAAGGAGATTACATTCCACTTCATGATGCTGGTAGGGAGATACCAAAAGGACGTTGGAATGAAAATCAAAAGCAACGATTTATGCTAAACTCCAAAGCCATAAACGCACTCATGTGTGCTCTAACAGAAGAAGAATATACCAAAGTACACAGCTTTAGGAGCACCAAACAAATGTGGGATACCCTAGCCATAACTTATGAGGGATCCTTGGAGGTAAAATGCAACGAGTTAAGCTTTTTGGTCTGTAAGTATGAACTCTTAGAAATGGAAGAAAACGAATCTATCCAAACTATGTTTGGAAGATTTCAAACTATTGTAAATGAACTCTCTTTTCTAGGTAGGACTTATGATAATTTTGATCACATTGACAAATTACTTCGTAGTCTACCCAGGAAGTGGAGACCCCAAGTCACTGCCTTGAGAGCATCCAAGGATCTTGAAAAGCTCTCACTAGAAGAACTAGTTGGACTACTCAAAGTCCATGAGATGGAGCTACAACAAGATGAAGCAGGACGAAAACAAAAGTCCATTGCACTAAGTGTGCAAAAGAATAAACCTATATCATCATCGTCAAAAGCATTAAAGGCAGAAGAAGCATCTGACGAAAGCTGTGACGAAGAGACGTGTGACTTAGACGATGAGATATCTCTATTGTCTAGAAAAATATATTCTATGATGAAGAAAAAGGGAGGATCACGTTGGAGAAAATACAACAGAACCCCAAGAGAAAAGGCACAACCACTATGCTATGGGTGCAAGAAACCTAGACACTACAAAATAGAATGTCCAGAGTTAGAGAAAGAAAAGGAGAAAGAAAAGAAGAAGTCAACTCCCCACAAGAAGAAAGCCATGATGGCCACTTGGGAAGATCAAGACATGACATCATCTGAAGATGATGAATAGGCGAACATATGTCTAATGGCAGATGCAGACTCAT